TGCTTATAAAATTAAATTGCCTTAAGCATTGTTGACTAAATTCAGACTATATTTCCAATTGGCAATTAAACTGATCTTGAAGTTTCAGATACTGTTACAGTTGTGACTTACTCATGAATAATCATGATGGAATGAAATACTCGTTAACTGTTCCAAACCGTGTGAACATTAAAGGAAAAGCACAGAAGAAATAAAGAAATTAATAAAAAGTTGGTTAAAAAATTATAAAGCGTGACAACTAACAGAAGAATCATTTACAAATCTGCAGTTTGTGGTAACGCTTTCATTATTATAGTGTAAAATCTTTGACATTCGATATCGTCTCACGTAGCCACGGCATGCTCTAATAATTCACGATTGGTAAAAAATCGTTTGGAAGTTCATGCCGTCAGTATTGTGATTAGTGAAAGAACAGAAGCGTGACCATCTTAGTGACTCAGAAGTAAATTTAATATGTGATAAAAACTAGGTGACTACAGAGGTACTTACAAGGTTTTTCATACTGATATTTTCCAGCTCGTTAGGTACGCTTCAGTAAAGATGAAATCTCCCATTGTGAACAAGGAAATATAAAGCAGTTGTTCAACGGTCTTCCAGTTTTCTCTAAAATGATGTAAAATTATATTTTCGTCTAATATTTATGCTCAGCAGTTTAATTCATTTGTAGTTGATAACATATATAAGTATCTGTAGGTTTGCATGCAGATTTACCTATCAGATATAAATAAGATTTATTTTAATTCCAGGTATGCAAAAATAATGACTACATGAGATATACAGCGAACATTGTAAAATACAGGGTGGTTATAATTTAAGTTCCACTTTGAAATGGTCATAAAAGGAAAACTACTGGACAAAATGTTATCAAACTTGGCAATCGTGGTAAAGGTGCTCATGGGAATTTATTTTTCCGCGAAAACTAAATTTCCAAAACTTAGCTTTAAATGGCAATATTGTTAAACGAAATAAGGATCAGAATCTAACTTAACCCTTTTATTACAAGAGTTTAAGGGGACTCATACACCTTAAACCCCTTATGATCTTCGAATATGTGACTGTTGCAAGAATTGGGATATTTTTTTTTATTAAAAAAGCAATTACTTCCAACGTTTTACAGCTCATTACATAATATAGCTGCTTCGGAAAATAGTAACCAGAAAGTTTGTGTTGCCAAAAATATTTTTGTAATCTAATCCTCTTTGTGACAAAATATTTCGCCATGTTTCCACCTTGCGCGCATGATATTTTAAAAATGGATAATGGTACGTAACCTGAAATTAGATGGAATTCTTTATATGGGCACTACTTTCTCACTGAACCAACAATTTGATAAATATTTTAATAATGAAAAATTTTATGGACGAAAACATTAAAAATTTTGTTAATAAAATACATTTTATAAACATAACTCAAAATAAAATTAAAATTTAACATGAAATTTTTAGAATTTTAGGTTGACAGTAGTTTGCAAATGTTATAAAAGCTATATATTAAATATGGAATTAAATTACGAAACAGAATGTTTTAAACTGTGCGCGCAAGTTGAAAACATGACGAAAAATGTTGTTACGAAGCGGATTAAATTATAAAAATATTTGTGGCAACACAAACTTTCTGATTACTATTTCAAAAAGCAGCTATATTATGTAGTCAGCTGTAAAAAGTTGGTAGTAATTGCTCTTAAAACAAATAAGTTATTCTAATTCTTGCAACAATCTCTTATTCGAACATCTTATCGGTTTTAAGGTGTATGAGTCCCCCTTAACATGTTGAAGAAACATTCTCCTAAACAAAACTACCATTTAAAAGCGATAAAAATCAAGCGCGCCATCCGTGTAACAGAGAAATCCGTCCGTGATAACCACAAATTAGAGATTAAAAAATGTGAGATCACAAATCACTTGCAAAAGTGTACTCATTCCGAAAATCGCTTTCTTACAAAATCGCTCACATTATCTACCCAATTCCATTGCATTCCCCTAGTGTGGTATGACAGGTAGTTTCATAATCGGACCATTTTTTTTTTTTTTTTTTTTTTTTTTTTTTTTTTTTTAGAGCAGTCGACTTCTGAACCTGTTACATGCACTGTGACCGCAGCTCGCTTAGCGTCAATGTTTCAAAGTCAAGTCGTCAAAGACGTTTCGTGATACCTGAACTGCAGTAACATGGCATTTTAGACCCTACGATTTTCATGCAGGACATGGAACCACCTCCCATTGGTACATGTGTCACACAGTTATTTAAACAACATTTCACGAATGAACGGATTATAGGCCAACACCTCCCTACTTCTTGGTCACCCCGGTTACCAAACCTCAACCCCCTGAGACTTTTGGCTATGGAGATATCTTAAAAGCACTATTTATAGTGATAATGTAAACAATTTCGCGGAATTGAAAGATGCGATGCAACGACATGGACGTAACATTTCTCCTGATATGCTAAAAGATGCTGTTGAGAATGCAGTAATACGATTTAACGTTCTTTCGGAAAATAGTGGACGCCACATGAAATGCTTTATAACTTATTTCAGAAACGACTAAACACATTTTAAACGGTTATCTTCATGTCTTATTTCGTTTGACAATTCTGAATTCAGCGCCATTTCCCCCTTGATATTGAATTTTTGAGCTTTTTTGGCGTGGGAAATAAGACTAGAATTCATAAAGTATCATTTAATCTATATTAGTTTAGAGTTTAGTGTGCACAGAATAATAAATAAATATATAATAAATAGAAAAATAAAGAAGATACCGAATTGCGGATAGTAGTAAAGAAAATGTTTTGGGTAAACCGTCATTACCCAGTACTTGCGAACCAGACAACACAGTACAAATAATTTTAAAGGTTAGTTATTCGATTCAAAGCCGTAATTAACTAAGTTACCGATAGATGGCGCCCTTAATGCCGTAACGGATAAATCATGTCTGTTTCCTTAGAGATGAAAGACAAGGTTAGTTTCTTCATTAATTTTGGTATTCAAAAGAACTTTTACATTCTTTGCGAATGAATACCTTAATGTTTTTAACCTTTAGGGAACCAAATTACTTATATACACTTACCCTGTATGCCAGGGGTTCTGAACCAGGAGGGAATTTTTCCTCTGGGGGGGGGGCAAATTTCACAGTTTTAAGCAGGGTCAGCCTTTATGTAGCTCTCAAACGTTTAGTTCATGTATGTTAAAAAGTCTTTTCTCCAAGTGTTTTGGTATTTATCAGTATTTTTTGTATTTTTTCTCGTTTAATGTATAAAACACGTTAAAATTAACCTAAATGTAAGAAAGATAAATATCTGAAAGCATTCAAATTTTACATTAAGCCCGAAGCGATTTTTATTTAAAATTTTGTGTGTTACCTTTACTTATTAAAAATCGTGTCCTTCGCACTTTAAACATAAAAATCAGTTCAACAGGAATATCGCAAAATAGTTTTAAAAGGAACATAGTTTCAGAATTACCCTGCACAGTCTCGCGCGCTGGAGATAATTTTTTTTCCACACAGTGTTGCCATTGCTCGCTTTTAAATCGTTAAGTTTTTTAATCAAAAATTTGTAAAAGTTTTACAAATTATGAAATAGATAATGAAACAAATTCTAAATTCAAAATTCGGGCTTCCACATGCTCATATTGGGGTGGAAACGTATGTTATTCAAAATTTGATGGCTCTAAGTACCGTTGTTTTATCACAGTGCGAGAAACATACATACATTTATGTAGGTTCTTAATTTTTTTAAATTTCTTTAAATATAATGCAGGGCTGTAACATTTGGTAGCAACAATTTGAAAAGTGAACTGACATTTCATCACAAAAATGCTAAAACGAAATTAACAGTCCATTTGGGCAAATTACCCCTTTGGGCTAATAAATGGATATATATGTGTGTGTGCATTTTTCGAAGTGTGGAAAAGAGACGGGAGAAAAGGATTTTCTCGGATCGCTGAAAAGGATTTTCTCGAATCGGTGAAAAGGGTACATGGGGCAAAACACGTAGGTAATAACTGTTCTATATGCTTTGAATAAACAGGGCTGACTCTCTTCATTTTTTATCACATGAGTGTTTAGGATCAGTTTCAGTTCTATTCCATCGCTCTTAAATTTCTTCATAAATAATACCCCAAATAAATCTATTGCGAAAATTTCAAATCATTACTCCTGATAGTTTAAACATAACTCCATTTTAAATTTACTGCAATTATTTATAACTATTTCATTTACATTAAAATTCCTTCATCAGCTTTTAAAGGTATTAATTATATCAGAAATTCTTTCATGCCTGTTTGGCATGCAATTAAAAATTTGCAGAAGACGAGCAGAAAAGCAAACACTTCTTACTGTTCTTCAAAACTCTTTAAGAAATCGTTAAGTTATTGATTAAAAAGGATTTGTCAGGAAATTTAATTATAGTCTGAAAATCAGCACATTATTTAAACATGCTTTTACGTCGGTTCTTTATCTGCAAAAGGACTGAACATCTATAAAATTATATAAGCGTTTTTATCACTGCTTCAGCATATTAAAATTTAAATAGTAATTATGAATTAGTTTATTATTTATTTGTTTATTATAAATATTAATAAAGTTATCCAGGAGGTAGAGGATATTAAAGTTTTGATTTAACATTGTCAGCATATTAATCTATACAGTGCAAAGGCATATCTGGTAGGACAGCCTTAATAATGATGACAAAAATAATTATGATGAAAGATGTATCATAAAGGTATCGCAAAAAATACTTTTTAACATCATGGGATTCCCTTTGGATATTGTTAATGAAAACTTGAAGCGGATACTCTTCAGAGCCATACTGCAAATTTAAGAAAAACTGAAGTAATTTTTTCCTTCATTTTTAACTTAGATATGATTTTTTTCTTTTTTAAAGCACTTTTTAATTGTTTTAAATATCAAAAGTTCAAATTTTTAATTTTTTTAAAAAATTCTCTTTGAATCGCGTTTTAAAACAAACTAATATCCCCAAAAAAATTAATCTTTTCTCTGTAATAGAGTTACACATCAAAAACAGTCGCAACCAAAGATGTTTGCCTTTGACACCTACAGATGGCAGCACTACAATGAAATTTGGAACTAACACAGTGAAAGAGAAAATGCATGAAAGTGTACTGGAAGAGCGCAGCATAAGCACTTCTTTTATAATAAAAATAAAGTAATACACATCTTTTTTTATTTCAATTTTTGACACTTAAAATCGTCATTTCGTATATAATAGTATTAAGTAACTAATTAAAAATAAATAACGATTTGAAAACACTAGATTAGATTTTATTTTATTTTATTAATAAACTAAGATATTATATATTAGTATTGTAAATTTTAAGCAAAGGAATTAAAAAAATATATAGGTCTGCACATATGAGAAGTTTTTAGAAACAAACCACAGTTTACCTGTTTTCAGAAATCTGTCAATTGATTGAGAGGATTTTTTAGTACCAAAGTTCAAAATTAATTAGTAAACTAAACAATTGTTCTCATGAAATGAGGAAATGCGCATCTTCATCGTCATTTGTATGATATGAAAAAAAAAAAAAAAAAAAAAAAAAAAAACTTGAAAAAATTTAAAAACCTTTTCTTAAGTATATCTTCTCGAACTATTTTTTTATTAAACTTGTTATTAACCCGAAATTTAATTTAACACTCCTAAATATAAATAAAAATTTCAAAATTTTTTATGATTCTTCCACCAGTTATCTAAGATTTTATTGTACCAATTCTTGTGCAAATTATCCAAGACTTTATAGTTCTAATTCTTTAAAATTTCGTGCATATTTTAAACTCAAATTTATCATCAATGATAAATTTTACATTATAGTCAAGGACAAATTTTCACCACTAAAAGTATATTGGCTAAACTAGATATTATAAAAATGCTGGATACTCCAAAGAGAACAGCTCTGTCAAAGCAAAAAAAAATAAACTTTAGATGTCTTTCTAAAGATTCTTAATTCATATTCGTCAAATCGGATAATTTTACTTTTCCGATAAGGTTGCAAACATAACTTAGAGAAACTGTTTTAGGAATTAATACAGTTACTGGTCGTAACAGATTAGATAGTTGATTGCTACAGTGATATACTCAGTATAATGTTTCGAAAATTATGATTTTTAGTTACGTTGCATATGTGATGTTCATTCTTAAAATAAGTATGTATTTTTTAGAACCCGAATCTGCTTTCTCATCTATGAGTTATTTTTATCTATACTATCATTATCGACAAGTCTTTCTTATTCAGAATAACAGTTTTTAAGCACAGTGGCGCACTGTGATGTTAGCAAACAAGATTCCTTTACATTTCTGGAGTAAAAAATTATAATACAGGTATATTATAATCCTCTTATAATACAGTTTGCTACAACACAGTTTCGTCTTACAAGCTAAGAAAATTGCGGAAACTCTTATATAACACTGCATTAATAGTTTCACTCTAGCACGTTAATGACTACGCATAAAACATCTTATAAACGTTGTGTATGTACATATTTCAATAACACGATTTTTATTTTAAACATTTACAAAATTACATTGTAGAAACATTAGGGTTTTTTTTAAATTTTTTAAATGTTTTTTAAAGTAGGAGTGATGCCAAATGCCTTCGCCGAGAATCCAACCACGGACCTCTGGAATACGCGGCCAGAGTGCTGACTACTACTACGCAGGCATGTTACGACTACTACGAACACTACGCAGGCATGTTAAAAAGGCGGAAGAAATAGCTTATAACGTTACGTACAACGCCATTGAATGTAATCACAATAACGAACTTTTTATTTACACACACAAAAATTAAATAAATTCCATAAATCCTCGCATTCTCCAACATCGAAATTCTTTAGAAACTGAGTAGTACTCATTATTTACAAAGTATGTACAGAGGCTGTTCACACATTTTTTAGACGACGTATATTGTATTCACAAAACTAAATTACATAAAATTCTTGTGTTTTAAATGTTCTATTTGACATCCCTTATTCCGAACTCTTTCGACACCGCAATTTCCAGGATAATAATGCCTTTTCAAGTGGCAGAAGAGGTATTCTATCCCATTCCTCCCGAACAGCTTTCCAGAGTCCTGTTAGGGTTATGGGACAACGTTTCGTTAATGCAGTTTTTAAAAGTCCGAAAGCGCAAAACTCCAAAGGTGACACATCAGGAGATTTAGTAGGAATATCAGTGAAGGGTATGGCCTTGATACCAGTTTTTGTTCCATTTCGTTTAGGAAATTTACAGTGGATTTTGATGTGTGACTGTTAGCTTTGTCCTGATGGAGTCTCACAGATGGATGGCACTGTGGGTAAAGCGATGGTATTTCATTCAGAAAAATTGCAATAAAATATGTGCCTGATAGTATTTGGAGTTAATCGTGACATTTGTTTTTTGCACTCTCTTTATTTTTAACTTGCCAGCAACAATCATGAATCCCTTAGAAAAACTTTCTTTCAATTCTTTGAACCATGTATTTAAACTTTTTTCTCCCCTTTTATGATAATAAATGACTCTTTTTTTGTTACAATCATTTAAATACACCCATGCTTCATCTATTGTGACAATTGTCTTCCATTTTTCTTTGGATAAGTGTTTCTCATATAGAATTCTGCAGCGTGTCCTGCGTTGAGCCATATGCTTTGGAAGAAGACGATGCACATTGCGTTTTTTCGCTTTCTTAAGATTTAAATCAACGTTTATCATTTTGTTTACAGTGGAAACTGAGCATTTTAATGATTTTGCAACTGTCCTTTGACTAGGGGGATTTTCTTTTAACATTAAACAACGTACCTTTGCAATAGTCGAAGATGTCCGTTTTTTCCTTGGATACTTGTTTGGAAATTTTGTCCCACTTGAGGCTCCAATTTGAAGTTTTTTTTTCCTTTCTTGTTGATGATATTACCTATCGACGCTTTATATATCACAAAACCAATACTCTTGCATCGTTTTTGGATAACAGAGTATGCATATTTCTCTTCGGAAAGAGCGTAAATGTAGCCTTCGAAACACTGCTTTGTTAAATTCGCCATTTTGAATAAAAACAAAACTTTCAAGCCACAGACAATAAATTTGTCCTTTAAAAACAGAGTACAATTTCAATTTCTTCTTTTGCAGCAAACGAGTTTTTATTACCGCTTACCAAAATCGTCTAAAAAATGTGCGAACAGCCTCTGTATCTTGTGCTCCAAGTGTTCTCGTGGTACATTGCATTAATTACAATGTGTGTACTCCAAGTGTTCTCGTGGTACATTGCATTAATTACAATATAGAGATTTTGTAAAGATATTTTGCGTGAATATGTTACTAATTCCTTCGTTGTTTTTAGAAGCAATTATTGCGAAGAAAGTACGAAAACAACTTTGTATTTCTATGAAGATTCAAATACAAATTTTGAATTATTTTTTAAAGAGAAATGCCATCTCGCATTGCAAAATGTCTAAATGAGGTAAAAGTGAGAAATATTAAAAAGTATTTTGTTTTTATAAGATTTCGAAACGCAACCCTACTATATGTATTGTTTATTAGTCTCTTGTAACACGGTTCCACACAAAACAATATTTTCTAGGAACTTATCTAAGTGTTATAAGAAGGATACCTGTACTACGGAAAACAAAAGCTATAATACTTATTTTATAAATAATTTATGGTGTAATGGTGAATCAATTACGGTTATACTTTAGTCATATTTAAAAACCTAAAGAAAACAATATCTTATGCAGTACATTAATAAATCGTAAATGGCAAAACTTGCTACCAGATAGCTTGGAATAGCGAAATATGCTGGATATGCATTTGCGGTATATTAGTCCATTAGAGTTTGGATACATTGCCATGTTTCATCTACTGCAGGCGTGTTATTTATCATAGTACTCTAGTCCTAGATCCTGCACATACTCATTGGATAATGCTGGCTTTGGTTACGGTCTTTGTATTTAAACTCCTTCTTTGTGGGCTAAAGAAACAGATCAGAGAAGCTCTGGAGATAAGGAATAACAGACTCGATCACCTTATAGACGCAACACAGACAGTTCGAAGTATCAGAACCAAGCATGAGTGATATCTAATGTCACCTCCATGCCTAACATCAGGCGTTAAGATCGATAATGCGATGCCCATGCAGGATTTACCGAGTTTATCTCAGAGATACCGCTAGACAAGGCTCCAACGACTATGGTGCTATAGACATAAGCAACTTTTACAACGTTCTAGGCATCCACAAATACCATAATAGAACATGCTTTTGGTTGGAGTCAAAGGTAGCTGGAGAAATAAACATTTTGCAATATTTCCTTTCTATTATAGATGGTGTCGAAATATACCGGGTGATCAAAAAGTCAGTATAAATTTGAAAACTTAATAAATCACGGATTAATGTAGATAGAGAGGTAAAAATTGACACACATGCTTAGAATGACATGGGGTTTGATTAGAAAAGCAATAATCTCATCAGAAAAGCAATAATTAGCATAACAAATTAAGATAAAGCAAAGATGATGTTCTTTACAGGAAATGCTCAATATGTTCACCATCATTCCTCAACAATAGCTGTAGTCGAGGAATAATGTTGTAAACAGCACTGTAAAGCATGTCCGGAGTTACGGTGAGGCATTGGCGTCGGATGTTGTCTTTCAGCATCCCTAGAGATGTCGGTCGATCACGATACACTTGCGACTTCAGGTAACCCCAAAGCCAATAATCGTCGCACGGACTGAGGTCTGGGGACCTGGGAGGCAAAGCATGACGAAAGTGGCGGCTGAGCACACGATCATCACCAAACGACGCGCGCAAGAGATCTTTCCGCGTCTAGCAATATGGGGTGGAGCGCCATCCTGCATAAAAATCGTACGTTCCAGCAGGTTTTTATCAGCCAGGCTGGGGACGATGCGATTCTGTAACATATCGGCGTACTTCTCACTCGTCACGGTAGCAGTTACAAAACCAGAATCACGCATTTCCTCGAAGAAAAAAAAAGGGCTCGATAACAACTTTTTTTTTTTTTTTTTTTTTTTTTTTTTTTTTTTGCTTCTAATAAAACCCCATGTCATTCTAAGTATGTGTGTCAATTTTTACCTCTCTATCTACATTATTCCGTGATTTATTAAGTTTTCAAATTTATACTGACTTTTTGATCACCCGGTATATGCAAGCAGTCTTTGTTTTGAAACTAATTCCTAATTTTTGACCTAGAATTAGAGATGTGGGTATAGAATTGGTAATAGCTATGATCACAATATATCTGTCCCTTTATCATTATATGGGCCCTTCAACAATGGACAATTCATTACTTCTTGACCCCCCCCAATATCTACTCGAATAACTATACTTGCATCTTATTCAACACCTATTTCTCAGAACATTAAGACATAATCTTGAAGTTCCATCTACTCGAATAACTATACTTGCATCTTATTCAACACCTATTTCTCAGAACATTAAGACATAATCTTGAAGTTCCGTTATATCTGCCGTTACGGCCTTTGATTATGCAAATATTGATTAGCCTGGACGCATCCTTCCTGTTGTTACAATTTTAATAAAATTACAGTATTCTCTATGCTTATCTTTATTTTGTCTTTTCTAGCATGTTAAAGTTTTATCAGATAAAGGAATTTGTGGCAGAAACGAAGGATTGAAATAGTCGATTGCAAATAATGCTTCCTTCTCTACTAATATTATGTTTGGCTCATTCAAAAAGTGTATGAATAGTTGTTCCTGATGCAAATAAAACTAATGAGGCATGAGAATATTATCATAAGCCTATTTGCTGTTTTTTGCATTTCTAATTTTACCATTCATCTTTACATTTCCGAACAGTATCAGCTTAGTAAAAGACTGGAATTATATTCATTCCACTAAAAATATATGTTTAAACAAGGATGGCGAAACAAAATACCATATTTACTCAAATATTTGTATCTCTCGCAAAACGCGCGGTTAAATTCTGCCAATCTGTTTGCGCCCAGGAAATTATTTGACAGATAAATGGACGTTACTTAAGGGCTTAACATGGAGCAAAGAATCTTAAAATATGAATTTCAATTGTACCTACTAATTAAAATAAGAAGTATCAAAATAAAGTTTTAACTATTTACTGTACATTGCTCGACCCAGTATTTTAAACAATGTGGAGAAAAGAAATCATTTCTAATAAGCAAAATTTTATTCTTTGAAGAATTTTATTTTTCTACGTAATTATTATCGTACTAACGTGTATAGCATATCGCTTAAAAATAATTCATAATTTTAGGTTAAATCACTGATACAGTTAAAATAATGGTATCTTGGAGACAACTTTCCTGGGCTTCGTTCGCTGTCTGCGCAATTCTGCTGCTGCTGACCACAGAATCTGAAGGTGGAATGATCTTATTCAAAGGTAGTAAAGGTCACGGTGGTGGTGGTGGAGGAGGAGGAGCTTTGGCAACACTTTTGGCTGCAGGAGCCGTAGCTAAATTACTGCAGAGCAACCACGGTAAGTTCTTGTTGTAAAACCCAATTTTTGAACTCATAAATGGATCCGTCAAAATTTAAATTTTTAAAGACGTATGTATTTAAAAAATTAAAATTAAGGGGACTCATACACCTTAAAACCCTTAAGATCTTCGAATAAATGACTGTTGCAAGAATTGGGATAACTTATTTATTTTAAAAGCAATTGCTTCCACCTTTTTACAGCTGACTACATAATATAACTGCTCTCTGAACTAGTAACCAGTAAGCTTGTGTTGCCACAAATATTTCAATAATTTAATAGGATTTGTGGCAAAATGTTTTATGCGTTCACGTCATGTTTTCACCTTGCGCACAGTTTAAAACATTCTGTCTCATAATTTAATTCCATATTTAATACGTAGGTTTTATAACATTTGGAAACCAAAAATCCTAAGAATTTCATGTTAAATTTTTATTTTGTTTGCAATTGAGTTGATAAAAAGTATTTTATTAAAAAAATCTGTAATGCTTTTGTGTATAAAATTTTTTAATATTAAAATATTCATCAGATTTTTGATTCCGTTAGAAGATAGTCCCCATATAAAAAATTCCATCAAATTTCAAGTATGTAGCCATTTTTAAAATATCATGCGCGCCAGGTCGAAACATGATGTGAAGGCATAAAACTTTTTGTCACAAAGCAGATTAAATTATAAAAATAATTTTGGCAGCACAAAATTTCTGGTTACTAGTTCAAAAAGCAGCTATGTATTATGTAGTAAAAGGTTGGAAGTAATTGCTTTTAAAATAAATAAAATATCATCAATTCTTGCAACATATATTCGAAGATCGTAAGGGTTTTAAGATGTATGAGTCCCCTTAATAAAAATAACCTATATAAAAACTATTTTTGCTGGGTATATTAAGGATGGCAATAAAAGAGAAGGTATTAAAATTGTAACAAATTATCGCCATACATTTGTGGTGCAAGTGGGAACTGTCCTGTAATCCAAGGTTTCATGGTTCGAATTTCATCCAAAGATTGCTGATTTATTCTTATTTATGCAAAAATAAAAAAAGCGTTATGTTCTCAGTTAAATAACGTAAGAAATATTATTTTATAGTACCAAAAAAGATTTCTATGGATGCCAAAAATCATCATTAATATACAACAATAAATGTCCTGAATACAATAAAATGTCCTGAAGAATTTAAATGCCAATAAAATTTTATCTACGTGATCCTACGGATCTTACAATCTACTGGACAAAGATTGCCATAAAATGCATTTAAATTTCACAAATTTAATAAATGTATATTCTCGCACACATATTAACATTACAATCTAGAAATTTAATGCTAAAGCAGCCAAACAAGTCAAAATCCCTAAAGATATCCCTAAATTATCCCTAAAGATATCCCTAAATTATCCCTAAAGATATTCCTAAATTATCCCTAAAGGTATTTTACAGTACAACGTAATCAATAATAAGGACGTGTTAATATAATCTCATCAGCCCAAAGATGCGTTAGCCCAAAAAGTCTGTAATCTCGAAACGGCGTTTTGCATTGAATGACTTAAAGCCTTAAATCGCTTTTCAAATTGTTGCCACCAAATATTATCGCCCTGTATTACACTTAAAGAATTTAAATAATGAAGAATATGCACGAATGTGATATGTATGTTTCTCGCATTGTGAAAAAGCAACGGAACCAAGAGCCATCAAATTTTGAATAACGTAGTCCTCCACACGAATATGGGCACCTGGAAGCCCGAATTTTGAATTTCGAATTTGATTTATTATCTACTTCGTATTTTGTAAAACTTTACGGAATTTTTGTTTAAAAAACTCAACGACGAGCAGTGGCAGCAATGTACAGAATAAAACCTTTCTATTTCCAGCGCGCGAGACTATGTGCGTTAGCCCAAATGCTCTCAAACGTGGATGTACGTGTAAAAACGTAAACGAAAGGAAACTTCGCTTTGAACATAATGCAAAATCTGAAAACTTTCAATTTTTTTTTTCCTTATTTGTTAATAATATAATCTAAGAATAATGCGCCTGCGCGAGTAATATAAATGCAATTATTTTTATTGTATAACTGAATCGATGACGTTAAAAAAACGCCCCTTTGGACGCAATTTAAAATCTGAAACCTTTCAGATTTTTTTTTCTTTTTCTTTACATATTTTTTTCTTTCAATGCAGCTTTTCATTTTTATATCAAAATATTTATTACGCAAAGAAAATAGAGTTGGCAATTTTTTTTCTTTTAAAAGTCTACTTCTGCGACAATGAGGAACGTGTGCGCTGACATCGTATTAAAGATAGTCATTCGTTTGATTGGTTACATAATGACGCAATGCCTTCATTATAAGTCTTATATCAAATTCGTATATAATTTCAAAGATCAGATTTATATACATTTAGTCAGAGAATTCTAGCGCCAAATGTTTCAAGATGTGTCAAAATCAGCCATGCTTGATAGCAAATTTACTTATTAGTGTTCCATTCTCTAATGCTCCTGCATTGGATTAAATATGTTTCGGAGTTTTGATTTTGAAAGTCATCCAAAGAGTTTGTTAAGGTTTTACGTTTTCTGTGAGCTTCCAGTCAAACAGTCTGCTCTTCCACTTACTTCTGCTAACCCATTTTTGCTTCCTTCTACGAAGTGAAGGAATTATTGTAATCGAGAAATTTTCGGGTATCATATCTTAACGATAATATCTTTTTTGGCCGCTATCGAATGCAATTTAACAATGCTTTTGCATGATATATGTACGTAAGGACAGAATAAAGGACTCTTTTTCGCAAAACGGGTTGTAAAAAAGGGTTTAAAATGGATTCAGAAGGTATTTTTTCGTGATGTCTGTTCGTATGTATGTATGTATGTATGTAGCTCGCATAACTCAAAAACGAGTAGCCTCAGAACGTTGAAATTTTGTATGTAGGACTACTATAACATGAAGGTGTGCACCTCGCATTTTGGTTGCAATCGGTCGCCCCCACTCTGTCACTCGGCTTCGTGAGCTTAGGTTTTTTTATACTTATATGTCGGCAAAATGTACATTTTTTGCTTTAAAAATGATTGAATTATGTTGTTCGTATCTTCTGGCAAGTGTTTTTATGACTTTCGTTAATCTGCATGCAATAGTTGTAGAATTATTAACAATTTAAAAGTTGTTGAAGTGCGACTAAGCCTAATTTATTTGATCATAACAGCCATTTTGTTTACATTTGAAACTTAGTAGAATAGTGAATTAAATCACTCTCTACACCTGCAGTGTCTTTTTGATGAGTGAGACCAAAGGTAAATTTTCAGTTTTCTGCACCGAAAAATCTGCCTTCTTGCTCGTTTTGGCCGATTGCTTGTTTTTGCGTAGAAACTCTAATTTTAATTGTAAAAAATGTTTTTTTAATTGTTTTAACTATATTTGGTGTTTTATACTTTTATATATTTTCCAATTTTTAATAAAGATATTTTAAGGTTTTATACATTTTTGTCTTGATGCGAAATGAGGGCTGAATTAATTGAATAAGGAATATATCTGATGAAATTGGAGGAAATAAGTATAAATGAAATGAGCAAAAATGCGTTTAATTTAATATTCTGTTCAAGGGTCATCTGGTGACATTTTAAAAACTTTTTAGCTTTATTTTTAAGCACCTTTTTCTTTGCGCTTGCGTTACATACAGATCAGCCACAAAAAAAAAAAATCATAAAATTTTTAAAATCTATATAGTAGTTTATGTTAAGAATTCTCGACGCAGTGGTAAGTTTTTGTGAACTTCCATTTTGCTATTTTTATCAGTCTTTTCTCAGTTCATCATATTAATATATAGTTTTCTTAGTAAGATGATTAACAACTTTTTCTGTGATTTTATTATTAACTTTTGTGTTAACTTTATTTGTTAAATATCACGTTCTTTACAGTTACGCCACATAAAAATTAATTCTACAATAAAATCACAAAATATATGCAAACTGAATATCTTCAGTATTCCCGATAAAGCCTCAGAAGTTGCCACATATATTTTTATATTCGTTATAATATTTCTCCAGCCAAATAAAATAGTTATCATAAAAAGGGAAAAGTATATAATGACTGACTTCCGTTAGTGTAATTTCATAAAAATATTGAATATTTCTAGTGATTTTAATATATTTTTATTTAAATCCATCACATTAAAAAGTAGAAAGAATATTCTTAATAATTGTGTTTACTGCTTTAAAAATCGCATAGTTTATTACTCGATAACCTTCCAGATTAAATTTGAAAGCATCGTAGGCTTTCCCAAATGTCAACGCACTGACGCGTGGAAGATAAAAGTATTATATCTCGGCGTGATAATACGCTGCTTTCATACAGCCGAGTTTGTCAATAGTAAAACTAAAAGATAAGTATCGTACATTTTTCCGAATGGCAAAAAATTCTCGCTAGCTGCAGATAAAAATGTTTTATTTCGGACAGTGTTGCCACTGCTCGCTTTCAAACCGTTGAGTTTGGTAATAAAAATTTATAGAAATTTCAGAAAATATGAAATAAGTAATAAAATAAATTCGAAAATCAAAATTAGGTCTTCCATGTGCACTCTTTCGTGGGAAGGACTAAGTTATACAAAATCTGATGGCAAGTTACGTTGTTATTTCACATTTCGAAGAATATGCATACATACATGCAGATTCTTCATTATTTAATTTCTTTAAAATAACACAGAGCTGTAGTATTTGGTGACAAAAATATGAAACGTAATTGGCCTTTAATAGTGAACCAAGGCAAAATCCCATTTCGAAACTAATAGCCCCTTTTCAGTTAATAATGTCTAAAACCAAAATATAACTTTTCAAAATATGAAAGTGTAAAGCGGTGCTTAAATCAATTCTATAGTATTCTTATCCACACTTGTACGAAAGATGTAAGGTAAATTTCACAACAAATCACAAGTTGATCATGTGACAAGTGTGGACAGTATATTACCTGCTTGTTAGAAAAGCTTTCGAACTTTATATATCCTATAATCTTCTAAAAAAATTTATTACCACTGTAACTATATGTATACATATATACAAGCAGAAACTTTAGTTCATTATTATTTTCAAACCAGAAGAAGTTAGCCTAGCAAAAAGAAAATAAATGCGGGTTATTTTTGTTACGTGCTCAAGTAAGCTTCAGTACGTGCGGCAATGTGTAACCGTTTAATTTCGAATGATTTAATTTTACACTATTATTTGAATAGTATAAACAATATATATTACTACTACTGTTTGCACAATTTTTATTATATTGTCCTTTTTATTAAAAACCTTTCTTCATATTTTAATATATGGAGCATGTAAAATTGATACTTATTATATATTTATTTTGTAAAAACAAAACAAAAAATTGAATTAAAATATATGCACAAAAAGCAAACGTTATTTCAGCAACTTACTCTGATTTTTTTGCATTTATTTCTCCCTCTGATTTTTAAATTTTAGCATTTTATTTAGTTTCTGCTTTATTTATTTATTATTATATAAGAATACAAAATCTTTATTCAAGCAGAAATTACTTTTTACTAAATAACAATGAGATAAATTTCGATGATAAATCCATATAGTTATACGTATTGTTACGTATACGTATACCTATACGTATACATATACGTATACTTATACCTATTGATGCGACGAGACAGTTTCCCTTAGAATATCCTCCACGAAGGCATCTCTCCCCTTAGGCAGATAGCCCTAGTGTGATTTACCATAATTAAATACACACACACACCGTATTGTTGCGTGCGTGCGGTTTAGTAAGGGATTGAATACGCACAGATGCGATGATAACTTGATAGAATTTATTTTTCCAAAAGAAACCCTTAACAGTTCTAGAACTTTCCATTAAAGAACTCGTACAGCTCTTCTCAGAATAGCAGAGCACAATATGTAATTACTACTTGAAACTACTAAGAACCAAGCACAACGCAATCCAAAGCGCGTGTATAAAACAAAGCTCACACTGAGAATTCTCAATTCTCAGAAGTCACTCTGAGCTGAAAAAAAAAAAAAAACGGAGAACTTATGTTCTCTCCAGTCTTTCACAGTTTTTCCCCGGCTGCCAAGGAATCTCTAGTACCTGCCATTCCTCGAAATTACTGGAAGATATATACAGTTAAAATTACTTATAAGAGCAAGATATTGTTACAGTTACATATAGGTGTCAATTACAAAAAAGTAACTCTTTAAACTATAGTTGGACTCATCCGCGACCATGAGTGCAAACACGTATGCGCCATTCAAACCAAATTATTCTCAAAATAGGGTGGAAGGATGGGGACTTTCTTTCCCTCGGGCATATAAATTCCACTTTCTGGAGAAGAGAAGACTTTCCAGCAAGTAATAACCCCCCTTTTGGACGAGTCTATGTATTTTGGCAGAATGCCAACCAAGGCTGCGTTTGAGACGGTTGAACTATAAAAGAGAGAGAGAGTGTCTATTGTCAGTTTATATGTAAAGAACTGCATTGATTTGTGTTTATTACTACCATGAGAGACTTCTATATTTTGCCTTGCAAAGAAGGACTGATTGACTTTGCTTTAAGCTCAACTGGTAGCTTAAATACTGTGATTGCGTTTATGTGTTTTTTCGTATATTCTACTCATTAAAATTTTGCCCTGCAAAGAGGGACTTTGCGAATATTATTTCATGTGATTATTGCGTGCTCACCACTACGTTCGTGAAAATACGTCTTTAAGTGCCCAATGTCTTTTCATACACACGCCATCACACAAAGCAAGGACTTTGTTTAAATTATGTGTTGAAAGCTTTTCAATCTTAATATGAACTTACGTTTCAAGAATCAAGATGCAGCAGTCGAGGTCAGTTCAAGGAAGGGTGACCCCCACGTGACTGCCTCCGACCAATCGTCTACAAACTACATTCATTTAGACAGTTTGGACTGGAAAAAGTCTTAGTGTTAAGCATCTGTATACTAATTCAAAGTTAGCTTTTAGTTAGAGTTTTAGTTAGTTTTTTATATTTTTACGTTCAGACAACAAGTGGTTGGTCTCTGTATCCCGAAGTACGGGAGCACCTGTAAAGTAATAGAGAATAAAGGGTGCAGTATACCCTTTCTGCTTGTGTCGTCTATATGCTTCTCGTGCATATAGACCCGTGTGTCGTCTATGTGTACACGTGTGTCGTCTATGTGTCATCTATGTGTTGTCTATATGTACACGTGTGTCGTCTATGTGTGTCGTGTTCTTGTGTCGTCTATGTGCTTCTCGTGCAAATATCCTAGTGTGCCATTCTTACTACTCAAATACCTTAATGTCGAGTTTTTAATTAATAATCATAACGATTTATCATCTGATTCTCAATGTAAATATCTTAATGTATTAATCTGTAAACTGTTAAGTGGATGTACACTCACGTAACAGCCTGCAGCTAATCAGCTAACTAGAATAGTTTACCATCTTCACAGCTCGAACGGCTTTCTTCAGATGCTACTTCGAAATTATTTGCGATAATATAATAAGAACACTAAGTACTTCACCAGCTTCGCCTATTTAGGCGGGGAGGTATCTCCCATGTTTTAATTATTTACCAAGCCCCACGGGCAATTTTCCATGATAGGCAGTAAAAGTTGAGTTCGACTAAAGGCTGCCATAGCCAGGACCATTAGATTAGATTAGATTGACAATTTCTGTCAATTTTTTTTTCTTTTCGTTGCACACACCAATATGCTTGCTTTTCTTCAGCATGAATATAACCCAATATTGACTATATTGAAGCTTAAATTTAGCCTTATTATAATATGGTGTTGTGGAAAATTTCTTTGTTCATTTTGTGAAACTAAACCAATTTTCCGAGGTTGCTGCTTGCATAATATCCTCTTGTAAATATGGAAATCGTGCAGTTTTAAAGCAAAATTCTTGAGAAACATTTTGGCTACTTATGAGTTATGCTGTTTCAAATGCATGCGGTTAGCTGTCGTTGAAGATATTTGGAAGATTCACTATTATTAGTTTAGTATATCAATATTTTATCAAAACGTACCCACGGCTAATCTTTCAAGAGATTTGTAACTTTAAATGTTTAGAAAGCAATGTAGCTTAAAGATTAAAAAAGCGCCCTTCTTTAAGTAATAAATAAAAATGAGGAACTGTTTATCATTTTATCTTTAAAAACATCACACAACCCCTAAACTGTATTCTAAGAAATCTAAATAGAGCAAGTAGTACGTTCTTATTAAGCGATCTGTTTTTGTTTAAAAACGGCTCTTTTTATGCTGCACTTCCTGAAGAAAATTCGTTGACATTAGATAAACGTCTTGAACATCTACTGATTAATCTTCTAGATAACTTAGGGATTAAAAATTCTCTTTCAATGTCTTTGCAAAATTTTTTGTTTCTTTTAATAAATAATATTTTACTCTTGCTGTGTTTTACTTTCTCAATAGTTCCTTAGAAGTATATTTGCAGCTTTGAATGAATACTTTTCACGTTTTATAGATTTTAAACTAAAATTTCATAATTCTCATTTCAGGGGGTTCCCAGCAGCACGTTGAGCCAGTCTTCATACCTGTTCCGGTCAAAGAACCACATGGTATGGGTATGATGCATGGTATGCAAGGTATGGATGACTGGTGGTAATCAGAATCTCTATCGCTGTAACTGCCCATTGTGTGTATGTAAATAACACCACAACTGTATATATGGTGTGATTCTGTACAGATATTCATTAAATTATTCATCCATATTAAAACTTCGTATTTATTCTTTTCTTGTCTTCCTGAAATTATCTAACAACCCTTTATGTTATCGTTTAAGATAGCATACACCTTCCTGCATTTTTTTATTCCAGAGATTACCTTCTAAATATACAATTTCGCATACTGCTGAAGACTCAAAAGACTTAAAGTAACATTTTAGAATACATAAAATAAATATTAATATAAATTATGCAGCTAGTGATGATTATAAATACATACTTAGACTATGATTGATATGTATTAATATTGATTATACTAATAAACAAATATGCAATAAACATGTTCACACTTAAATTGATTTAATAACCAGATATCGCGATTCTAAAACACCATATTTAAAATTTTCCTGAAATAATATATTATAGACCAGTTTATATACATAACATATATAGGATGTTAACAAAGTCCCTAAATACCTTTACCTGTTATTGTGAGCACCTTCTAATAGGAAATGTTTTACATTTTTATAGTGTTATTACATGTATATCAACGTTTATCCACAATAATTTGTTTTAGTTTAATATGCAGTTTATAAGATATTTCTTCCGCCTTCTTAGCATGCCTTCGTGGTGCAGTGGTGAGTACGCTCGGCACGTAATCGAGAGGTCCGTGGTTCGAGTCCTGGCGAAGGCATTGCAATAGCCTGATGTCTCTGCAAGGTAGTGTAGTGATTTGGGGATCTGAAAATCCTCATGTCGCAAAGAATAAACGAGACATCCCAAAATTGAACATTTAGTTTGGGATGCCGTATGACAAGATTTTAGGACCATTTGTTTGAGTGAACAAATAATACCAGACAGAGTTCACATCCATGCACTGATTTTTACCTACAGTTGGAGGACTAACAACCAGAGGATATTTTTGAACAAGATGGAGCGCCACCATTCAGGACATTATAGGTGTGCAGTTTTCTCGACAGAACATACCCCAATAGATAAATCTGGAGAAATGGACCCATTCCACGGTCACTACGTCCAAGTGACACTGCCCATTGAACATTTTTCTGTGAAACTACGTTAAAGACATTGTTTATCGTGAAGATAAGAATCAGCAATACATCATGTTGCACCGTACATGGGCAAAACGGGAACACCGGCTAGTCATTTTGTCCGTAGAGTGGAGATGTCAAGAATTGTCACAAAAACTTGAATCTTGCTTATGAAAGTATGACCAATAGCTAATGTATAAAATGTTCCTTTCACAGGCAACAATCTGTTAAAATTGTTCAGAGACTTTCTGGACACCCTATATTTCTCTTCTTAAACAATATTATTTTTTACTCTAGTTTCTACCATTACATACATTGCTCAAAACAGGATAATATGATTTCGTTTATAAAGTGCGGATGAAGAAACGTTTTTTTAACCTTACATAGTATTATTCAAAACTGGTTAATATACGTATTTTCTTATGATTTGCAGCTATAGTTTATTTTTTTCGCTTTCTTTCACCAGGCTGTAAATGAGTCAAGAATATTTAAGGCAGAGTCAATGAAAGTTTCGGACAGACAGCTTTTGGTAACGACGCTGCTCGTAGTACTATTGTCTCTCCCAGCTCTGGTACAGTAGTTATCCATCATTAGCCATTTTCCTAATCGAAGTTACACTGGTGTTCAAAAATTAAGGACGAAGTCGAAAAATTAGCATATCAGCTGAACGAAGAGGCAGAGCGGACAGAAAGACCAATCAGGAGATTAAGTAAGGTGATGTACGGTAGCACATGCGCAGATATGCAGGTAGACGTAATGGGGGAGTGTCTGAGTAGTATAAAGCATGTTGTCGGTGTAAGATCAGTATTTCTGGCAAAGAGATTGCACGCCGTATAGCCGTTAAAATCACACGGAGTTGCTGCCCCTCAGCGAGAAATGCGAATAATCAATCTGTTAGACGACATCTGGATGCTTTTACCCGAGGTCGAATCGCTGGAAGTTGGAGGAAGGCCGCAGTGTGACAAGTGTGGCTGCAGAGTTCGGAATTGCTCACACAGCATCGTTTCACGACTTTGGAGACAATTTGAAACTACAGGAACAGCTATCCGGGGGGTTTAGTAGTGGTCGTCCACGAGGACCCACACCCGCAAATGACCGGTATATTGCCTTACAGGTCAGAAAAAACAGGCGGCAGACAGCGGGAGAAATCGCTAGACACACACAACACAGGCGACTGGACGACCGATAATCGCGTTTTACCGTGGCCAGAAGACTGCACGGTGGTGGTCTGTTTGCACGACTCCCTGTACGGTGTGTACCTCTAACGCCTGCCCATCGGAGAAGGCGTTCTCTGTGGTGCCGCGAACACCGGAATTGGAGAGACAATGAATGGGGACGAGTACTCTTTACAGATGAGAGCAGATTCAGTCTGAGTAGCGATTCTCATCGCATACTCATCTGGAGAGAGCGTGGAAGCCGCAATCATCCCTCGAACATCATTCAAAGGGACAGGTATGGAGGTGGCGGTGTTCTCGTTTGGGGAGGCATCATGCTTGGTAGTCGTACAGACCTTCACATCTTCGACGCAGGTTCGGTCAACGAGACCCATTATTGTAACGAGATTCTTCTTCCATATGTAAGTTTTTTTAGAGGCGCTATGGGTCCTCAGTTCCTTTTCATGGACGACAATGCACCATGTCATCGCACAGTAGCTGCCGAACAGCTCTTAGAGAGTGAGGATATTGAACGTATGGATTGGCCGCCACGATCTCCGGATCTCAATCCCATCGAGCATGTATGGGATTTTCTAGGCAGACGCTTGGCAGCTCATACCTTACCACCAGTAACGATTCCGGAGCTTCGATTGGCGCTGCAAGACGAATGGGCAGCAATGCCTTAACAACTCATCGACACCCTCATTCTCAGCATGAGCAGACGCTGTGAAACCTGCCTAGCAGTCAGGGGAGATCATATCCCCTATTAAAGACCGGATGTTTCTTGCTGGACACCCATCACAGGGATGTTTCGGCCTTTAGTCGCATTGCGCTCCATGCTACTTTTTCAATAAAGCTTCTTTTTATCCCTCTGATTTCTCTTTTAGTAAGTGTTGCTTACATTACTCATGTGCTTACGTATTGGGGATCTTACGGTATTAAATGTGTTGATTTGGAAAGATTTTGTACAAAGTTATATTGAAAAAACCGTCTCGTCCTTAATTTTTGCACACCAGTGTAATGTGCACTAACTAATTTGAGCCGAAGCTTAGATAGGCTGTTTGCATTTGCAGTCTCCAACATCGAACTAATTTTAATTCTAAGTTCAACTTTCTGTTAACTGATATTCTGCAAGTTACGAAGATTTAATTTGAAGCTATATTCATGCGTTTATTAATTCAAAGCTTTTAACAAAAAGGTTTGTTTAAATTTTTCCAGGTGTAGGGTGTTCATAGAGAGAGTTAATTCACTTATATTTTATAATAGATTTGAAGGACTTTAGTTAACTTGTAGACATTGGCCGTACTATCTAATCAACAGACACTACAGGCTTTAAAGAAAGGTAATTATTGTAAGAAGAAGGAATTTTCTGTCAGAAAGTAAAAAGCGCGTATTTTATACATGTCATAAATACGGGCAAAAAATACAATTTCTGGTATAAGAACGAGTTTTAATAAAAAAACATGACTGCCTCTAACCGTAAAAGCTGTTGCCCATTTATAAAGCAGAGAATCTGTAAAGGAAAACGGGTTTATTTTCTTTCATTCCTATACCAGAACTGTTCCAGCTACTGAACTGAATCTGAGAGTGAAAAAGGATAAGTAACCCTTGTTCCTAAAATGTCACATACACTTTTGGTTGATTTCGTGACAGGAAAGTATGGTGCCCAAAGTATGTGATGTATTGTATGTGAATGTATGTATTGTATTCTATGTAAATGTATGTATGTATTGTATTGTATGTGCTGTATTGTATATGAATGCATGTATGTATTGTATTGTATGTGCTGTATTGTATATGAATGTATGTATGTATTGTATGTGTTGTATTGTATTACCTATAAACGTACGTGAATTCTTATGATTCTTTTCATGAAACCTCCCATTTAATTAGAAGTGCAACGTGATTATGTGCCAGGAAAGCCCTTCTCAAGACATGCAAGTCTCTCTTTACATCCCTGCTTTAGCCGTGCAGTATGATATGAAGCTGTTTCCCTTAGAAAGCCTTCCCTGAACGTTCCTCAGGCAGATAGATCTCTCGTTTCGTATTTTGACAAATAAACATGTCGAAATATGCTACGTAGTACTGTAAGGTATTTATTTAAAATGAAACAGTTTTTTATGTTCAGCATCTGTACTGTCATTTCTCCCTTTCCGTTTTCCTGCCAGAATGCAACTTTTAATATTCACGTATTTCAATGAAGTAAAAAGAGATAGTATTCAAAGTGAAGTCTTTAGTCAGAGCGTGTTTCGCCTGCTGAAAGCCACGTCAATAGTTGAATTTCTACTATACTCTATCTCGCCGGTGCTTTATTCTTATTAATAGTGCTTATCACGCCAGTGTAGGTTTAAGACAACTTCCGCTCAAATTATTTCTGTGTAGCCTTTGGCTAATTTGCGCCTTAGCTTTAGTTTAAATTTGAATTTCTTACTTTTTCGAGTTACTCCATAAATGCTGGCTAGTTTTGTAAGCAGAAGAAGTTCCTGCTTTCAAATTTCAATTCTGGATAAAAGGGTCTTTCGCACCTTTATAAGTTTCTGTTGTTTATTTAGACATAGCGATAACTGCTTAAGTCTATTAGAGATTTGACTTGTTGTATGCTACCTAAAATAGCATGACTCTACAACACATTGTCATATGTCATAACCAGTGAAAATAAACAATAATTTCTTTCGGGAATAAACATTAAGTGACTATTTCCGTAGTGAATTCTGCATCTTATACTTTTTTGTTTTCTAAAAAATAATATACATCGTTAATTGTAAATGCGAAAGAGATCGCGAAAAGCAATGCTTATAGAAAAGTACCTTTTGTAAAATAAATGTTTAATTTTTTATAGGATGAAAATATTAAACAAATCAA